TTCATGTGGTCTCAAATGTCAAAAGTAGTCAAAAACTTTGTACAATCATGTGATATTTGTTCAAGATCAAAAATTCTTCATCATCAATTTTATGGACTTCTTCAGCCATTACTTATTTTAGAACAACCATGGTCTTTCGTTTCTATAGATTTTATCATAGATCTTCTAGTCTCAAGTTTATATAATTCTATATTTATGGTAGTAGATCATTTTATTAAGATGGCACATTTTGTATCATATACAAAATCTATTATAAGTAAAGAAATGGCTAAGCTTTTTTTTGACAATATCTATTGCTATTATGGATTGCCCAAGGATATTATATTAGATAGGAGGACTCAATTTTTATTTAGATTTTAGAGAATCCTTTTCAAGATTTTAAAAGTATATATAAAGTTCTTTTTGACTTTTCATCTTCATATTGTTTAGCAAATAGAATAAATAAATCAAGTTCCAGAGCAATACTTGAGATATACCATCAACTATCATCAAGATGATTACACAACTCTTTTATCATTGGTAGAGTTTGCATACAATAATTTGATACATTCTTCTATTCAACAAACAGAGTTTTTTGCCAACTATGGTTATCATCCATGACTTGATAATTTTGACTTTTTAAAAATTAATAATCATATAATAAAAGATTTGGCAAATTATTTGTTAGAACTACATGCAACAATAAAGACGTAGTTAAAGAGAATTCAAGAACGTCAAAAGATTAATGCAGATGCCTATTGCAAAGAACAACCATAATTCAATGTGGATGACAAGATATGATTACTTCATCGCAATATCAAGACTACTAGTCTTTGTAACAAGTTGGATTATAAAAGGCTTGCACCTTTTTTTATAAGTGAAGAAGTTAATCTTATTGATTATTGATTATATCTACTAGAATCTATGAAGATCAACCCCATATTTCACATACCTCTTCTTGAATCATATAAGATAGTAAATATCTTGGAAAGAAGACAAATGTCACCTCCTCCTATAGAAGTGGATAATAATCAAAAGTTCAAGGTAGAAGAAGTCTTAGATTTAAGGCAGTGCCAAAATATGTTAGAATATCTTATTCATTGGTATGGATATGATATTAGTGAATACACATAGGAGCATAGAAAGAATCTTATAAATGAAATTAAGAGATTTGAGGCCTTTTATTGACAACATCTATCAAAATTAAGATGAAGAATAGCAAATCTTTACTATAAAAAAAACAAATTCCAAGGAAGTAACATTTTATCTTCTACCTTTCTTTGTAGCTTTTGTATATTTGTGAGGCTAAAGAGATGGAGAACCAACAATCAATAGATTCAACCCAAGAACTTTCACTTGTTGACTTACCATATGAGACATTGTAATTGTCACAATCTTCAAGGTGACATAATTAGGATGAAGATTTTAAAGAATAATATGTCCTTCTTCAAATAGATGGAAGATATTACGTATTTGGTATCACAACCTTAGAAGAGAGTTTCAATGTTTGGTGATTTTATTTGAAATAGGAATAAATTTTGATAGTATTTTAAATATTTTATTTCTAAAAAGTTACGAAGGCCTTAATAACAATCAAATAATAGGATGGTCTTCTTGCCCTAGTATGAGCTACTATCAATGGCTAAGAAGAACTATCAACCATCTTCAAAAAGAATAAAGATCAAAGAATGTGACAAATATAATTTGTAGGATCTTGGATTTTATCAATACATGATGATTGCTTCTCATAGAACTCATCCCTAGAAGAGAGGATAATGTCACAGATATATATATATATACTCTAGTAAATATCTATATGATTAAATAGAAGTAGTTAAAAATAAATAAAAGTAGATTAATTTCATAATACCTTCTAGAGAAGCTTCTTAAAAGCTTCATAGATACTCCTTTGACTTTATATATGTTTGTAATTGATTGGTAGATGAGTAACTTGGTCAACAAGTCAATCCCATATTGATAGCTTGCAAAACAAGTTAATTATATGGTGAGTATATAAAAAAATTCTTACAAGTTAAGATACATATCTTGCAAAGTTAACATATTTTGGAGGTCTTATAGGATATTGTTACATAGTTCTTAGTTAAGAATATATATGGAGGCAAGAGAGAAGCCTTCTTTACTCTTGTCAATGCCTTTTTAGTCCTTAGTCTTATTTCAAGACTTTCTAGTCTTTTTTTTTTTTTGACAATAGCCATTCTAGTTCAATGTTATATCAGCATTGAGTGCCTTTCTAATTCTTTTTAGTGATATAAGAGTGTATTGAGGATTTCTTTCTTTGATATTTATATCCTTGATATTATTATTATTATTATTATAATGAAAGAAATGTCATCATTTAATTATACTTTTTTCATCTTTTTTTAGTAGAACTTACAAAAAAATATTCTTATATTATCTTATTGAATTAAATATACAAGACTAATAAGTTTTAATTCCAACTTTTTTGTATAGTGAGTGTGACTTCTTTAAATTCTTTTTTTCATCATAATTTATATTTTTGAAGAAAAAAAAAAAATAGACTATGTCTAAGTATTGAAGAAGATTAAATCATTCTTTGATAATAAAATTATATTATTTATATTAGTAACTAATAAAGAAATAGCAATCATGTTTGTAATACATGATTTTTTTCTAATGAAAACCAACCTTCTTTGTAATTGATATATTAATAAGAAAATTCTTGAGAATTACAAGAAAGGATTTTTTTGCAAATGAATAAAAAAACTTTCATGTAATATTAGAATTATGTTATGAATAATTATATAATTGATTTTTTTTTAATCTAATTTGAAAAAAAATTTAATGATTTTATGTCAATCATTTCATTATTGTTAATTACATATTAACTTGATTATCCTAGAAAGAGAGATTTGATGTTATTTAGTCCTTCCAATGCTTGCGTTTTAGAAATACGAATATGTTGAAAGTACAAAGAAGCCATGTTGCCTTGAAAAAGTGACTTAAAGTTTCTATAATGGATTTTCATGATTTTTGACATAAGATTATAATATATATAGAGCATCAAGAAAGAAAGCTTTAAATAAAAATTAGAGACAAAAAAGTCTAGACTTTGATTGATTTGAGTAGATTTTTCTATATTTATTGGTTTATAAAATTTATTATTTTGTACAACTAAAAGTGTGTACATTTGTAGAGGCACCAAATAAACATAATAAGTATATAAGACAATTCACTAATACTTTTAATATTCTATGCAAATATACATTGTATAAACATCTTACAACTAATAGCATTCTACAAACAATCAATTTCTACTTACAATAGTAACTTAATTCTTTTGTACCATTTCCACTAGCTTTCAGCTATATTATCTAATAAAACTTTTCAACAATTGATGCACTTTTCAATCAGTTAGATCAATAGGCAAAGATATAATTAATCTTAATGGAATTAATATTCTAGCAATATCATGCTCCAAACAAGCCAATTACCAATATTTTAAAGAATGTCCTTCTAATGTATTGAATTGCAATCAATTCCAATCCTCTACATACAAAGATCTCTCTTTATTTGAAGTTATGGAGGAGCAATAAAGGCAATGCAAGGCATGTAGCTAAGCTAGACATAACATTAAGATATGTCTTATACAACCATATCTACTTCAAGACATGTCTTGCATGACCATGTTTACTTCAAGATAGAACATTACTTATTATATGTATATATATATATATATATATATATACATATATATATTTTGACCCGTTGGTTGTTTTAAAGATTTATTATCTTGCTTGCATCTTCTCTTCTACTTCTTATTTTTCATATATATTAAGTTTCTTTGTTTATTTACATCTAAATATATATATATATATATATATATAATTAGCTAAATACTAATATATTTTAAAAGGTTTATTTATGAAGTTTGTTGCAAACTAATTAGCAAAAGGATTGTAATGAAATTATTATCAGAGTGAGGTTTTAGTACCATAGTGATGACATGCATAATAGTGGCGACGTCTGTCAATATATTAGCTGGAGTTGTCTTGGATACAAGGAATAGTAAAGAAGTTGAGTATTAGTTGCAAGAACATAGTAGTGCAAAATAGGGATCTTATATTGTAGAATAGAATATTAACTATGAAAGCCTATGTTTAAGAGCTAGCAACAAAGATTGTATCAAGAGTGGTATTTGAGTCCTTCAGTGAGGTGCAAGATCAACTTGTGAAGATTATTACAACACCACAGTAACAGTTGTTGGCTTGCTAGTAATTTGCCCTTTTTTGAGAAGTTGCCATCAATGACCAAATCAAGTACATCTTATTAAAAAAAAAAGGGCAATGACAAGCATGTATTCTGTAATCATTGTTTGTTTTAAAATGTGGTGGAATCCAAGCATCAGCACTCTCATGCAGTGTTGCAAGTTGGCCGATTCCTCATGTGATTTGCCCAATGCCAAAAATAGAAGCTTGTTGAAGTGATTGTACAAACACTGCCACTTTCATGCTGATGGTCAAGAACAATAGAACTAAAGCTACATAATAGAAAATTGCAACACGCAGTTGTTGATGCTGCAAGGAGCTGATGGGATCAATTAAATTCTTTTTCTCAACACTCTGTTCTATCCTTCTATACAAACCTCACATTTCCTCACTCATACTACTTTTCACAAGCAACAATGAAACCCTGGGATATAAAATTCCTACAGTAAAAATGCACTCATGAAAAACAAAAGACATATTGTAATCATTCATAATTTGAATGCAAATTAGTGTATCCAGTCAAGAGTGAGGCACTTCAAACCTAGTTGCGAGTACCGTGGAAGAAGGGGTCGTAGATCGCTCTGGTCTGGATGAGATGAACGCGCCAAATGCTTCTGCGGTAAGAGCCTAGCTTAGTAGGATTTTGACTTGACCAATCATGTTGATTGGAGGGTGCGAGTCTGGAACAGAACCGTGCAGGATTCCTGGCTTTGTAACCCCTCGTAGTTGACTTTGTTGGTAAGAAGCAGACTATGTAACCATTCTCACATAAAGTCTCCAACTAAGTGGACAAGGACCTGAGTGAGGCCATAGCCGGGGAGTACGTTGGTAGTTAGGAGAACATGGAGGATCGCCAGGACAGAGGACGGCGTCTTCTTCGAGGTTCTCTGCCACCCCACCGAGTACGCCATCGCGTTTCAGCTCTCTGAAGTCTGATCTAAACTAGTACATCCTCTCTCACAGTTGATGCGCCTGCATCACGATCATCTCTCGAAGTTGTATACAGGTACAGGTTTGGTTTCTGGTAGATGAGCATATCGGAATGAGGAACAGCGATAGCTTTTGAAAACGTGTAGATGTCTTGTGCGTGTCGAGGCAATGTGCTTTTGATGTTTACGTGCATATTGTATACTTGGCGGATCGTTCTGTTTGCAGTAACCCCACAGCAAGTGGTGCTGCAACGATGGCAATGGCAATCCCCATCCACCAGTTGTTCCCATCACAAGGCTCCGAAGCAATCTCTTGCATGTACGACGTGGTGTTTTTTCATGGACTGCAAATTAAAGGAGGAGGCAGAGCTTGGGAGAGCACCTTGGTCTCTCCCTAGGCGGGTACCGATGGACAAGATGTGGGTTGGCCTCGTGTATGAAGCAGTAAGTCTATCTTCTGTACCGTCAACGATGTGGCAGCATTTTCACACACCCTTGAGGCCTAAGTCTTGTGTATCTCGTTTTTCTCACTCGTGCAAGCTTTCCAATGCAGCGTCAGAAACACCAACGCATCCGTGTTGCATTCATGTCGCGTTGGTATCGGTTAGAAACCTTCAGCATCACCACACATAGTCCATTTTAAGGTTGAAGTTGTGCAGCCAGTTGAAAAGCAGTGACCACAGAATAGACCAGTACGTTGTTATGTTGTGTGGGAGAAGGGTAACGTTACATGTGGTTGTGATAATTGGACATCATCTTTGTACTGCAGTTATGGAGTAGGGAAGCGTAAGTTTGTGCTGGTTGGACACAGCCTCGGTGGCCTCGTCATCAAGAACCTTGTATCAAAGATTCATCGGCTGTCAAACATGAGTGGTGAAAGTGCTTTGGACAGAGATCTGCGAACAACATGCAGGAACAGATGCTACGAAATTAGTCAGCTTTCTGAAACTAGTTCTGTCCAAAATCATAAACGATTTTAAGCCGTTCCAAAAGAGAAAGGAGAAATTATCTGTGAAGTCCGTAGATGCTTTTGGAGACAAGAGGATGAATATAATGGCCTTTACCGAGGGGAAGCCTTTGTACGGAGAAGTTAGACTTCAAAGCTATGCGCTCAACTTCAGGGATTTAGTGGGGTAGAATATCAGCATGCTGTATGTAAGGAGTGCATTTGAACTTTTTGAAATAAGCAATGTATGGCCAAGGCTTTGACGTGTTGTGGAAGTGGATTTGGTGCAGATAATAGTGCTGGAAGCATCAGCAATACGTTTATGTGGTAACCATCACCATCCACTGCCAGACCGCAACCACGTAGAAGTTTGTAAACCACCTTCCAAGGAGCACGCTAGCTACTTTCATCTGAAGGACTTGAGATTGTATTACCAGTTGAATCTTCAATTGCTGACAGAACTGCACGCGCCGCAAAGGCTCGTGCCGCTGTGACTCAGAGCCCAGAAACTCCAGCGTGTTCGAACATCTCATCCTCGAGCAACTCCTGTAGGCGGTGCTTATGATGGAATATCTTGTTCTCCTTGTTCTTACAGAATAACTGTAATGCAGGTGTGATCTCATTGGAGGTAACGAAGCAGTATGTAGTGTAAAGTTTAAGGTTGATGGCTCAGTGAAACTGGTTGGTGGAAACTTTCAAGTAAACTGCAATTGTTTTCCTGATTGGACATTCGGCAACTAAAAATGAAATAATGAAAAGATGATTCTAAACATTCATCTGAATCGTCTGCAGTAAGAATTTTTACTGGTTCTGTTCAAAAACATGTTTTCGGCATGTTTTAGGGTTTATGCCAGCTCGTATTATGGTGGATGTGCGTTGACTGTTTGCAGTGGTGATCATTTTGGAATCTACAATAGAGGAGTATGCAATGTTAAATGTTTCCTCCTTGCTCAAGCTGAATTAAAACTGCTCTAGTTAGACAATGTTTATCAACACGTAAAAGTATTGCCACATGAATGTCACAAAGCGCTGGCCACAACACGTCAGGAACTTGTGTAACAGAACAAGTCTTCAAATTGCTTGCGAAATAAAAATTGTCACCTCGTAACGTGCAGCTGGCCATTACGCCGACTGTCAGAAATTGTTCGCTCTCAACAAGATCAATCTTTACAGCTACTGGAACCTGATCACACTGCACAAAATGTTACCTGTGTCATAGTACCGCCATTCTCCAGAAATAGTTGATGTGTAGCCTTTACAGAATCGTAACTACCTTTCACTCGGTCCAAAACAGCTTGGTTATCAAATTCTAAAGAGGCCATCGCTAGTTAGCATCAGGAAGTGACATGATGTGGAGGAGAGTCTTCTCAGACTTTGTTTTGATTCTAGAAGTTGCTGGTTTTCAAATTTCGAACTATTACGCTAGTTCGGCCTTTAATGTTGTCGATCCCCTTATATCACACCTGCACACGGTGTGCACAAACTTAGCAGCACAAAATCCGCCACAAATAACCTTGTTCTTCTCACGCTTCTGTCTAATCGATGACCCTTAAATTTGAGTTGCATTTTAATACACCCATTTAACCATATCATGTTGTGGCTGGGGTTTCTCCTCTAAAAATGTCTAGTAGTAAAGGTAGGTGTTGGGCAAGCTTAGGCCAGGACAGAGGCTTGGTGAACAAGTTTGCACACATACTATATATGGATCAGTATCAAAAACTAAGTTTATAAAGAGTTGCAAGTTGCCATATGAAGTGATACTTAATTGGGAGGTGAAAATTTGTCATGTCAACCAACACAAGGGTAGATTGATTGTCAGAGTGGAGTAGGATTTAGGTTGTTATGTTGTTGTAAATCTTGCAATAGATGGCAAAGTTGTATCAACTTGGAGATAGCCCTAGCCATGGCTATGTACTCTGTTTTTGTGTTGGACAGAATCATTGAGCATTGGTGGGTAGAGTTCCAACTTATGACCTATGCAAAAGCATAGAATAATAACAAGAAGTAGAACAACATTCATTGACTTTGTTAGCCTAATTGGCATTGGAAAAGTCATATAATGGTTCTAGAGAGTGCAAAGTACTACTATATTTGAGATAGCAGTTAAAGATCCTGTGCAAGTAGCAAAATGCATGTTTGTAGGCATGTACATGTGCGGGGCTCGGATTATGCATGAATTGCACCAAGATACTTATTACAAATGAGATATTGGGCCATGTACATATTGTAGTCCAATTCAAAGACTTAGTGCCTTCATATATAAAAATTTAGCAGCTTGGCAATTGTCTTTTGGAATAGTAGGATAATCTATAGTAAACAGATGCATATCAAAGTCAATGGAAATTAAAGTTTGGAGGCGTCAAAAAATCAAAACTCTAGAATTTTCTATTTGATATAAAAGGCTTGTGAAATCCAAATCCATCCTTGGTAGTAATCTCAAGTAATTGAGGCTTAATATGTGGTGATATCACAAACTTATATATTTAATCTAATAATCATTTAGATAATATGTTTAAATAGAAATAGATTAAAATAAATAAATTTAATAATATCTTATAGAAAAACTTTTTAAAAGCTTTATAGACATGACGTTGATTTTATATGTGTTTATAGTTGATTGATAGGTTAGAAACTTAGCCAACAAGTTAGCCACATATTACATGTGTTAATAGCTTGTGGTATAAAGTAATTATATAGCACACATATAGAAAAATTGTCTTATAAATTAAGACACATGTCTTACAAGTTGGACATGTATTGGAGGTCCTATAAAATATTGTCGTATTTTGTGAATTTTTCTTTAGATTGCATCAAACCCCTAGCTATGGAAGATAAAATAAAACTTGTAATAAGAAGATTTTAACAATTCTAATCGAATTCTAAATAAAGTCCAATCAAATTACAACCATGCTAATCAATTTTTAATTGAATTTCAAAAGAGTCTTAAAGAATTTACAAAAGAAACATAAAGAAATCATAAATTAGTCTTATAGAAATATATATAATAAAAAAAAATTAAAGAGATATTAAAAAAATAAAAATATTAAAAATAAAAATCTTAATTGATTCATAACCAAATCTTAATTTATTCTTGCTTATACTTATATGATCCAATCTGCAATTCTCTATATTGATATTTTTATTTGTTAGAAAAATATTTATTAATAAATGATGATTTTTAGAAGAGTGTATGGCGACCATTATGTTGTATTTCTTCACTTGGTTGTCTTTTGTGACAGGGTCATCCATCATGCACATGAGTTGTGGTTAGGGCTACTAAGACAAAGAGTCAATTTTGTGACATTTTGTGAGTATTGGCTAGAGGAAAAAAAAAATATCTATAAACTTGCTGGCATCGCAATTAATTAGCACAAGTTAAGCTACCAGTCTCTATCTGCATGTAGGTTGTTTTTGGATGCAATGTTAGATTTTGGATTATGGAACATAGATAATAATATAGCAACAATGTTGATACGTTTGAATGCAATAATAGAAGTTGATTTTTTGTCCAAATTGGTCGACCATTGGGATTAAGCGATTCTTGTCAAGAGAACCAAGATCAACCAGATATCAACTCAGCTATGGCCAAAGTAGGATAATTAATCAATAGGGATGATGCTGAGGTATGATGACCATCAAATCTAGTGTCCATCACTGAGACTTAAGAACAAACTTATTTTTTAAATTAGGTAGTTTAAGAATTTTGTGATATGTTCTTGATTTTGATAATTATATAGTGAGTTTAAATTTATAATTTTTTTTGAATATTGTGATGTCAAGGAAGGACAAGTTATCTTGAAGTGAATAACATGCTATTGTAAAATCATCTTATACAAGAATTTAATAAGTACAATTTTTAATTAATATGCCACTTCATTGTATATTTTGGTCACATGTGGAGAACAAAATCTTGTGTAAATTAGGAATATATAGTGCATTAGTGAGCTTTATAGTGTGTCTATTTACCATGGATATATCAATATTATCTTAGCCAAAAATAAAAAGAGTAGTATTATTTCCAAGGTGAACTTTATTTTCTTCCATTAATTATGGTTCAAAATTAATAAATTGGTTTTTGTTGTGAGCTATTATAGATATCTAACAAGAAGATTCGAAGAATGTTATTTGGATATTCTTAGAATATTCTATAAGATTTTAGAAGGTTTTAAAATATTTTTAAATATTCTAATAAAAGATTCTAGAGGATTTTTAAAATATTTCAATAAAAGATTCTAAAAAAAATTAAAATATTTTAAAAGATTTTGAAAATGTCTCAAAATATTTCAAGAAATTCTAAAAAGTTTAGAGAAGATTAAGAAATTTGTCTAAAAAGGATCTTAAAATTGCTTTGCTTCTAAGTAATATAGAAACGTCTCAAGAAGCTTCCTAATATCTAATATATATTAAAGTGAAGATTGAGGGAATTTTTAGTCTTGATAGAATGTCTCTTAGAGCTTTAGCTCATTTTTCTTGATATTGATCTTGTATTCATTTGGTTTAATCAAGTTCATATTAGTTTTTTATTGGAATACTTCTTTTCAACTTCATATTTGATCTTTTCTATAGTATATTTGTGACAGTTTGTTGAAAGAGCCATCTTATGAATACTAGAGCTTGATCCTTCTTGATAGAGAGTGGATTATCCCTCTTTTTGAAGATATTTGAGTACCTTAGAGGTTACAAATTATCTTATTTTAAATTGATATTATTTAGAAATGTCATTTTTTTCTTTCAAGATGATTAAAAGATAAGATTTTAATATGGTTAAATCTACTTAGTCCAAGTTATATGCTATTAAGAATACAATAAAAGGTTTTATCTTATAGAACTACTAAAATTGAGGGATTTTTTGTAAGATTTCTTAGTGATGCAAGACTTGGAATAGTTCAGTATGTGATGCATTGACTTTCTTAAGCTTTTTTATCCAAAGAGGCAGTGGCATCTATACCTCAATAAAAAAAAAAAAAAAAAAAAATCATATATTCAACAACACAAAGAGTCTTAAATTAGTCTTCCAAAAAAATTGATGGCATATATTTCAAGTTTCAAGGATTTGTTAATCAAATTCAATTCGAAACTTTTTTACAACCTAAGTGCTATCCAATAGAAGAGTCGCAAGTTGATTTAATTGGAGCCTTCTTTACAAGTATTATCTTAATTTGCTCTTTTATTTGATAAGAGATCTCCAATCTTAAATAACTTTGAATCTTTTTTAAAAGCATGTATAAAGGTATTTGAAGAATATAACAAGGTTCAATGAATAATAACAAAGATTTATTTATTACATCAACAATCATGTTCTACATTATTTTATGCATCTGATTTTAGATAATTCATTTATGACATTAATTGAAATGAGCAAATTCTTATGAGTCAATTCTATTAGAGACTACAAAATGATGTAAAATACCTATTATTATCATTATTTGATCTTCAAATATTCAATGAAACCATCAGCTAAGCTATAAAGTAAAATAATCAATTTTTTTAATACTGCCAAGATCAATGCTCATGGACTTTGACAAAGCAATGTATTAAAAATTTTTATTCTATTACATCAATAAATATATTGCTTCCATATTCTGGAATTGAAGATAAGCAAATTAGTGGAGTACAATTTAAACTTCTTATAATAATATATATATATATATATATATATATATATATTGATTTGAACAAGGCATATGCTTGTATTATTATAAAGAAGACCATAAATTTAGGAACTAACCGAAGAAATAATATACAATCAAGACTAGGAGTACAATTGTTCAAAAAAAAAAAAAAAAAAAAAAAAAAAAAAACCA